TAGGCAGTGAAATATCATGTACATGGTATGTGTCTAACGCATTCATTTTTGTAAACAATCATGATTGGGACACTATGAGGGAATATCTATCACATAAATTGCAATATCATATATGATATACATAATGCAATAAACTGTATGCATTTATAGGCAGTGATACAGTCAGCGCATAATTTGTGATGCAAAAATGCTGATTACTTGAATAGTCAATAGTGTATTAACCTTTTAATAACAATATATTAAATTACCCCTAGTGCTCCTATTCATGCATTATTATGAGTGCAAAATATTTTTCAAAGGTCAATCTATTAAAAATATTTAAAATGTAAAAGCCACATACCAAAGAGAAGCATCTCAAATTGGCTGAATATCACGAGAAAAAAATTATATTTGATCATGAATAGAGAAAAAATGAGAAAATCTTGCACCTGTGATTTTCCTTAAGCAGACCTAAGATACATGTCTACTTGCTCTAAAATTTAAAGTTAATTATTAACATATATATTTCTATGCAATTACATATTCCTGAGATGTCAATCAAAACTTGCCACATCAATAATGCAAAAAAGAAAGTAGAAATATAATTGTCAATATTCACAAATTGTTTACATTTCCTTTAAGGGGACCGTCCCGGAAAATGGCCACCTTTCCCTACTCTATACATCATAAAAAAATATCGGTTAGAGATAACTGATTGATTCTTTTTGCATGCTATAGAGTAAAGAATTGCACTCCGTTATATATATAAATTTTAACTTTGCTTCCCCATTGGGGGGGGGCACCCCCCAAAAAGTTGAAAAAAATCGCTATTTTTTTTGGTATGTCTTCGGTACATCCCAACTATCAGAGCTCTTTACAGAATATTCCCCCAAAAATGCTAGTGTTAGATCAACTCTAGCCTATAGCCATGTAAAAGGCCGAATTTTGAATTTCCTTTTTTTTTGGCGGGGGACAGCTTGACATAGAGAACTATTTTTGAATGCGTTTTTCAGCATTAAAATATTATTATTTTTTGATTAAGGCAAAAATTCAAAAATCGGCCTTTTACATGGCTATGGGACGCCGAGGCTCTAGTGAAAGCAACAAACTGCATTTGGATCGCATGAAAATTACGTGAGTTGGGAAGTACCGAAGAGTCATAAAAAAATAGCCGAGCTACGGCGTTTTGTATTTGGCACCTTGCCAAAGTTCGTTATCTCTGTTATTTTTTCTCTGAATCTAATGATATTATATATCAAAAAAACGCTTATTTAGTGTACTTTGCAATGCAATGATTACCAAGTCAATAGGAATTTTCATGTTCAATAGGGACGCTATTCTGTAAAGGTATGTCACTTTTTTTTTTTTTTTTTTTTTTTTCGTTGTTCATTAAAGTTGATATTTTCGTGTGAAAAGCTTAATAAATGCATTTTACCATAGAGACAACTAATCTAAACCAGATAAAAACCTTTTTTTAAAAAAAATATTTTTTTTTATTTTCCATTTTTTTTTTATTTTTTTTTTATTTTTGAAGAAATGGGGAACTGTGGATGGCAATATTAGTACAAAATCATTCTAATTATAAAGTCCTGGCATGAATACAACATGGTGGTTCAATTTTGAGAATTTCAAAAGCATATGAATTTAGTACATTGAATTCGAGAACTTACGAAAGTCGTTGAATATTCCCCATGCCTCACACAGGGGGGGGGGGGAGGGGGAGATGGTCACTGGGTGTTTATAATTTTCGAGGAGGATCATATGTACGTGAACGCACGCACATAAAGTTAAAAAGATTTAATCATCATCATTTAGTAGGCCTACATTGACTTTCATATCTAAATAATAAAATTTATTAGTTATCCCTCTCATACCCATTTTCTTTGATAATTGTCAATATTAGCAGATTGCAAGGGAGAACAAGTGTAAAGTTTATGATTAGCCATTTGCACCCATTATCTTTACTAAGAAGTGCATAAAATCATGCAGACGCCTATGTGTTGTGGGATATTTGCCAATTTATGGTGCCTAAGACTTACGGTAACGTCTAAACATATTCATTTTTATCGGAGCACGAAACGGATGCGATAGCTTTTTTGAACGCCAGACGAAGACTACGCATACAACCGAGCTTAAAATTCCATATAGTTTTTATTTCAGAGCAGGTATTACTGAGTACTATCATCTTCAACATGAAATAATCTGTATCTCGCTATACATCCGAAGTTTAAAAATCCGACATTTAGGTAACATTCGTATTGAATTGGTCTTTACAACGGTAACTGCCAAATTTCAAATCAATTCAAATTGCCCCCTGCTGTGATGTACCGACCGTTGAGCGAAATGTAACGGAAATATTTCAATCCTTCCTTATAAGGCTATTTTTAAACATTAGTGCTTCGTATGTGATATACGTATATATTACCACGTAAACTAAAACATATTACCAGGGAGTCTCGATCAAAGCATATTTCGTGTGTAAAAGGACACAAAACATACATTTTTTTTTAGATATATTTCACAAAATATTTCGTCATAAATCACGGTGATATAATTTTTTCTGATATTGGTATAAAAGTGTTCCTTGAACATTCACGAACTCATATCTATGCGCAATGTCATAATTAAATGCCTTATGCACGATTGCCGCAAGCAAAAGTCCACATAGGTGTACCTGGGCGCTCAATAGCGACGTACCTCTCCGGGTGCTGAGGGACTCGCACGCCGGCTGCAAGACAACGAGCCATAGCAGGCGGTTAATACTCGTTTGGTAGTTTCCTCATCCATGTACCTATACTATACGCTAACTAACTCAATTTAACCCCCTCCTCCCCCCTCTCTCCGGGACGGTCCCCTTAAATCTTCACATCCATAATATAACCGATATATATTTACAAAGTAAAGAAAACGGTAATGAAAAAGAAAAAGCACTCCAGTCAACAAAGCAATCATCAATTCCTTATCCCCAAGAATATATACCACACACTTCACAATGTCACTTTTTTCTACATAATCTTGTGCATACTTGCCATCCTTCAATTGGTACTCTCTTTGCCGAGTCAACTGGGAAGTAAGGAGAGGTTTGGTGTGTGCCTTGTCAGTCAGGTGTTTCTGGATGATAGAAGACATGCGCATTGCGGCATCTCTTGTTGCATTTCCGTGCACTAACATTTCTATATGGAGATTTGAAAGGAACCTTGGGATAAAGGCCTCTAGAGCCTCCACTGTCAGCTCTGATGAAAAATGAGAAATGAAAAATTAGTATCGTTAACAAATGACTTGTTCTGTATATCTGATATACATAATATAATATACATTTGCATAAAAGCAAGTACTTGAAATGCCAGCAACCCAAATTTGCCCTGATGAAACCTGAAAAGCTCTGAGGGACACACAAAGCTCGCCACTCTTAGGGGCCAAATAACCCTTGTATATAATTTTTCTCCCTATTACTCATTCCTCTTCAAATTCTTTCACTTTAACTTCCATTCTGATTATAAAAAAAAATAAATTCCCTACCTATAATTTTCAACTACTCTACTCTTTTAAACATTTGCCCGGCTCTTCCCGGATTCTTTAACTGATCTGTACTAAGTATATTTACTAGATATATTTTCCTCCTCCTCCAGGCTGAGAATAAGAAAAAAATATTTAGATAAAAAAAAATTAACCCTTAATAAAACGGAATCAGAGTGTGTGTGTGTGTGTGTGTGTGTGTGTGTGTGTGTGTGTGTGTGTGTGTGTGTGTGTGTGTGTGTGTGTGTGTGTGTGTGTGTGTGTGTGTGTGTGTGTGTGTGTGTGTGTGTGTGTGTGTGTGTGTGTGTGTGTGTGTGTATGTGTGTGTGTGTGTGTGTGTGTGTGTGTGTGTGTGTGTGTGTGTGTGTGTGTGTACGTGTGTGTGTGTGTGCGTGTGTGTGCGTGTGTGTGTGTGTGTACGTGTGTGTGTGTGTGTACGTGTGTGTGTGTGTGTGTGTGTGTGTGTACGTGTGTGTGTGTGTGTGTGTGTGTGTGTACGTGTGTGTGTGTACGTGTGTGTGTGTGTGTGTGTGTGTGTGTGTGTGTGTGTGTGTGTGTGTGTGTGTGGTGTGTGTACGTGTATGTGTGTGTATGTGCGCGTATCTGTGTGTGCACACGCATCTGTGTGCGTGTGTGTGTGTACATGTATGCGTATGTGTGTGCATGTGTGTGTGCATGTGCGGCTGTGTATGTGTGTGCATGCTGTCTATGTGCGCATGCATGCATGTGGTGAATGGTTTGGGTGGATGGCTTGGTTTGGGTGGTGGGTGTTTTGGTGGATGGTGTGTGTGTGTGTGCATGTGTGCACGTGGGTGTGAGTATGTGCATGTGGGTGTATGTCTTTGCATGTGGGTATGCATGAGTGTGGGTGAGCATGCATGTGCATATGCGTATGAGCGTATGCGGATGCATACAAGTAGGTGTGCAAGTGTGTGGGTGAGCATGCATGTGCATATGCTGAATACATGAATGCATTTATGAAAACATATGTGCTGGTATGGGTGAGGGTGGGTAGGTCTAGGTAGCTGTGAGTGTGAGAGTGTCTGCATGGGTATTGGTGTGTCTGTGGGTAGGTATGGGTATGGGTGTGGGGGTTTGATTGTGTCCACTGTGTTAGCATAAGTATATGTAGATGTACATGTGTGTTTACCTGCAGTGGCATTCAAAAGCTCCTCCTTTGTCCAACCATGTTCTGCCAGCAATAAGGATGTATAAAATACAACATGTTGATGTGGTTGATCCGCTCTGAAGTTACGTAAGGCACGGACATACTGCCAAGGAAATTATACAGTCAATTACATACATATTAGGAAAAAGCATGCAATTAAGTAGCAGAAAGATAATACAAATAAAAATATATGTTGAGAATCTTTACTTTTTTATCTACTTGTTGTATATCAAACTTTTAGTGTATATAGTACGAGTTCAATTGTACTACACTTAATCTAATGAACCTACAGCATCTTTAAGAATCTCAAAACGCTTTGGATCAACAGTGAATGAAGTCATGCGTTCCATGATCTTCTCCAGCAATACATGTTGTTTGTCGTTGTAACCCTTGACGTTCAGCTGTAACACAATAAGGATTGATTTATCATTATTATTGCTTTAAATCTTTGAAGACATAAGATGCTCAAATATAAGATCATTAACAAAAATATCTTTGCAGAACTTTTCCTGGAAAATATGTACCCAACAATGATTACAAATTAATCTGTAAGATACTTACTGTAAGACCATACTTAGTATTGGACAAGGAATACACAAGTCCAGCCAACTCAGCAGCATAAGTGTATTCAGTGAGTGCATCCCGAAACAGTTGTGCAAACATGTGCAGTAGATTGGTGTGGTGAGGGTCCAGGTAGGCCAAAGGACTGAAAAAGAAATGGATAAACAACTGAAATTGAAGCTTTTCAAAATATTACAAAAAGGAAACCAGGCCAAATATTAAATAAAAATCCTGTCATTAAACTTTCGTCCACAGGTGGCACCTCCCGTGATGTCATGGCTGTTTCTGGACAAAGTAGCAGGTGGCATCACATCATGACCCTTCCCACGCCATCAGCTCATCGGACAAAGCTTATTTTTCTCCAATAGTAGAGGCTTCATTTCTATGGTTAAGCTTTTAGGTGATAACACCTAAAGTGAAAGTAAATCTCCAAAATTTTTATATTTTCAAAAATTTTATCAAAATAAAAGCCTTTAGGTACCAAGTGTTGCTTGCAAACTACCAAACAAGCCAGGAGCAAACGGGAAACTGTCGTTGTGTGCCAACACCGCACTCATGTCCATGGTTCAATATGACTATTCAAACAAAAGTTACTTCTGAACATTCCAGACATCTTGTTTTTTTTTTTTAATAGTTAAAACATAAATGAGATTCTTTGACAGCATAATTCATTGAATGTCCCCCTCAGTTTTCCTAACAAGATAGTTCACTGAAGTTATGTATAATTCTCCTGCACTATCCTGGGACCTCTTAGGGAATATTAATAAAGTCCAATAACATACCAAATTCCTACAATATAACAAAAACTTGCATAAAATTATTGGAAATTAATTTTCTTTTTTATCTGAATCTGGAACCAGACAATCACCCTTTTAGCCAGGGCCAAGCATGCAGTCTGGTGATACAAGGGAGCCAGAAACTGAGACAATCTTTATGAAATACTACTGTTTTCCTACAGTCAATGATTATCTATAGTCCATGATCATCTTAGAAATTTTTAAAGCTAAGCTTGATAAGTAATTGTATTGTAAGCAATAAAGAAGGCTGGGTGACCAGAGATGGCCCTGGGACTAATCTCGAAAGCGCAAGTTGGGCTGAAGACAAAACTGATACAACAAGCATATAAATAACATACCTAAAAAGTTCTGCATACACAACAGATTTCGGCAGCTTGAATTCATCATCTTGCTTGAACCAAATTCTAGCCAAGGGAGACTCGCTAATCATCTCTGGCAAAGTCTTTCCATTCTGAAAAGCACAAACTATTCAGGAGTGTGTATGACACTTCATTATAAAAGATAATGCAAAATAACCAGATCAAATTAGATATATGCCTATAGCAGATATTTGCCAAATAATGATAATAAAAAAGTCCATGGATTTAAACATACGATTATTACCTTTTCATCTGTAAACAACTCAAAGTTTGTAGGAACAAATTCATTTTTGGTTGGTAACTTCAGCAACTCATTGAACCCAGCTTTTTCCCACTGTTCAAGTTGGTCATTCTTAATGTTATCCATCTTGTACTGTGTCCCATACCATTTCTCAACATCCGTTGCCTTCTCTGCAAGAGCTTTCCCAACAACGGCAATTCTGGAAGTCACATAAACAGACCATAAAAGCATGATGTAGTATGAGGCAATATACATATTCAAATCACAGGAAAGAGAACACTCAGCTCTTCAACATCTAGAAAATTATTCTATAAATTACCGGATATTGGTAGGCTGAAGATGAGTTAGAACCATGTCAATAAGATTTGGCTGGTATTCACTTAACAGGTATCCACCACAAAGCACCTCTTCCAGTGGGTAATACTGAAAAGATCATTTTAATTACATACAAAAATATGTTTTTAAGTATATTATTGCATAAAATAATGATGATAATCAAATATATCATCACAAATGCTAATAAAATACATCAAAAGATCCAACACTACATACATGCAGCTGTTCCGCCAGAGCACAAGTGTAACTCTGGGGACGTTCCTTATCCTTAAAGCGGAATGTCATGGCACTGAGGTCTTTACACTCTTCAAACACCCACTCCTGCGAACCTTCTCTTCTCAGCAAGTTCAGGTACTGCAAAAGTAAAAAAAATAATAATAATATTAAATATATGATGAATAAGCCATGGATTCCACATACACCAAGAATGTAATTTTGGTATGCTTAACTTTTGTGAAAATTCGGTCTGTGAAAAGTTTACTAAGAGTTGTACTTCTGCACAGAAATTTTCAAGTCTCAACTTTATCCTTGCAGGATTTCAAATAAACCACTGAATGTTACATCTGCACAATGGTTCCTTGCTCCTCTTTCTTTGTTGGGGGAGCTGAAACTTAACATGGATTTTTGATGAAAGGCACTTAATAGGCTTTCTTGACTGCTTGTCAAAAGTGTTTTGAAGTTAAAGTATAGTTGCATATATCTAGATTTAAGCTGTTCTCTCATATGCTCTGCAAGAGAATTAAAGATGTGTCACAACTGATCATATATAATAATATGTGACTGGTGACTGTGGTTGATCTGCTCTGAGGCAGAACAATCACTGTTGAGAAATTAAAGTTTTAATATTAGTCCCTTCAAGCTAAATTAAAATAACCCATAATATGTGGAGTGCCTGTTTGGATATACTTGGTAATGTGCTTATGTGCCTTAGTTTGCAGAGAAAGAAAAGTTCAAAATAAATAACTAATCAACCAATAAGACACTGAAGATCTACTATACTTCTGTTTTACTCCATGTCACTTCCATGTACTAGCACTCCAAAGTTTATGCCATGGTCTCTAAATAGCAACTTTACATGCTAAGGTTTCTAGCACAAAACTGATCTGTTAAAAAATAAATAAATAAACCAGTTATCTGTGCAATTTTCAAACTGTCTTCCCTGCACAGCTGAATAATTTTCTAGTCTTACAAAACATACATCAAAAAAGAAAAATAGTGAAAAATATCAGAAGTGAATGAAAAAATCAAATTACCTGGAAAACAGCTGTCACAATATCTTGCACATGCTCGATCCCTTCTTCTGTGAGATCAACATTGACCACAAAGAAGGCAAAGCCTTTAGCACCAGACTTCTGACCACCAACAAGAGAATTCACCCATCCACAACCCTTAAGATAGGAGAGCAATGACCCTGGACCTTCATGCCCGATGAGATGCCCCAAATAGTGGCCAGGCTGTTGAAAATGTTTGGATTAATAATGTCATTCATTACCATCTTATAAATCCTCTTACACAAATACTGATCAAAAAATATTTCACATCTAATAAACTAAAAATATCAGAACACATCATCAATGTATGACCTTCCAGCCATGTATAAGCCAAGTCAATTATCTGTTGATTCTTACAGCTGTCTTATAATGAGGATGAAGATCTGGGATCGGAAAAGTGATATACAAGTTCCGAATATCCTTCACAGGCACAACCTGCCCATATTTACGACACTGTTCGGGTCCAAAGGGGTGGCTCTTCCACTCAGGGACTGTCACATTTTTATTCTCAACCTCAGAAAATAATTCCAGCACCATTGTTTGCAGCTCTTCTAAACTTTCTGTTGAGAAATTAGTTTATGTATATACACTAAAAAAGAATAAGAAAGAGGGAGGGAGGGAAGGGAGGAGAGGAAGAGGGAAAGAGAGGGGAGAGAGAGGGAAAGAGGGGGGAGTGAGAGGGAAAGAGGGGGAGTGAGAGGGAAAGAGGGGGGAGGAAGGGGAGGGAGAGAGAGGGAAAGAGGGGGCAGAGAGAGGGAGAGAGAGGGAAAGAGGGGGGGAGAGAGAGGGAAAGAGGGGGAGTGAGAGGGAAAGAGGGGGGAGTGAGAGGGAAAGAGGGGGAGGAGAAAGAGGGGGAGAGAGAGAGAGAGAGGAAAGAGGGGGAGGGAGGGAAAGAGGGGGGAGGAGAGGGAAAGAGGGGGGGAGAGAGAGGGAGAGAGAGGGAAAGAGGGGGGAGAGAGAGGGAAGAGGGGGGAGAGAGAGGAAAGAGGGGGAGAGAGAGGGAGAGAGAGGGATGAGGGGAAGAGGGGGGAGAGAGGGAGAGAGAGGAGGGAGAGAGGGGAAAGAGGGGGGGAGAGAGGGAAAGAGGGGGGGAGAGAGAGGGAAGAGGGGGGAGAGAGAGGGAGAGAGAGGAGGGGGGAGGAGAGGGAAAGAGGGGGGAGGAGAGGGAAAGAGGAGGGAGAGAGAGGGAAAGAGGGAGAAGGAGGGGGAGGGGGGAGAGAGAGGGAAAGAGGGAGGGAGGGAGAGGGAGAGGGAGGAGAGGGAGAGAGGAGAGAGGAGAGGGAGAGAGAGAGAGGGAAGAGAGAGAAGGGAGAGGGAGAGAGAGGGAGAGAGGGAGAGGGAGAGGGGAGAGAGAGAGAGAGAGAGAGAGGAGAGAGAGAGAGAGAGAGAGAGAGAGAGAGAGAGAGAGAGAGAGAGAGAGAGAGAGAGAGAGAGAGAGAGAGAGAGAGAGAGAGAGAGAGAGAGAGAGAGAGAGAGAGAGAGAGAGAGAGAGAGAGAGAGAGAGAGCCCCAGAGGACCCCCTAAGTTAACCAACCTGACTAACCCTTTTAAAGATAAAATATAGGTTCTGTACTGTATTCCATAACAAATATTTTCCAATACAAATCCCAAAACCATATAATTAGGACACTTACCTTTGCCCAAGACAGCTAAGGCCATGATGTTTGAAGAGTACCATTGTTTGTGAAATTCCAGCAGAGCATCTCGAACATTTATACCTTTCTCTTTAGGAATTGTATCCAATGTTTCCTTGTTTCCTGAAAATCAGGTATCATTTCACATTTAGTATCTAGCCTTCCTTATTGGCAGTCATGTTATAAAAGCATTAAAGACAAATTTAGTCCTACTATACATATATTTACAATAACTATCCATTGGAACTGCTAAATATGAATAACAGTACTCTCTGTATGCTAAATGAATATACTCTGACAAAGCAATGCACTTTAGAGGCTGAAATCTTGCAGACACCATCTTGCACTAATTATAGGATAAAGTACAATACCATTACAGTATGAAAAGGCACATTAACAACCCATTTTCTTTGATCCCTCTAACTCAAGTATATGAACCAAGTATAGCACCAATTACGAATATCACTGAACTTTCTCGCAGCAACTCTCTTTAAGAACTATACAAGCCTTTGCTGTCATGTATTTTAATGTATAAAAAACAGTTAAGTCAATGTAAGATACAGGTGAATTGGCAGTGTATTCTATACACATCAAAACTATACTTTTCAGAGAAAACTGTATAGCTGCTAGCTTGTAATGAGACAAGAGGGGTGGATGCATGGTAATGACAATGTGTTGTGTGCATGTTTGAATGTGTTTTTGTGCTGTTTTATTTTACTTATACTATTACCACTATTAATAGCAATAACAATAATAATAATGAATATTTCTATTCATATAATCATGTTTAGAGACAGTATGTGTTGAACAAGCGCAACAGCAGCTTTCTCTTTGTTAGTTTTACTTGGACAAACCTTTGAGAGCTCACACCTTACACCTGACAGATATACTGCACAATATATGATGTATTAAAAACATGCCGTATTCTGTTTGATAGTCATTTGCATGGTAATATTTGATTTTCAATTTTTAAATACAGCTACTTTACAACTTGGAATCCGTTCCTCAAAAGTGTAAAACTCTCTCAACACACTTGCTGCATTTAATCACTATACTCAATGTGTCAATGTAAAATCAATGAACAGACATTCATTGTAATCATGCTTATGTTGATTACTATTATTAAAATCATTATTACCATTTCTTAAACAATTACCAGATTAACATCAAGAATGATTATTTCTGTTGTAGTGACATAACCAATGGCAACAACAATGCAACAATGACAATGATGATATTGATGATAGTAATAATGGTGATGATAATAATGACAATAATAATAATGATGCTAATAATACATCAATGACAATATCAATAATAATTGCACTAAAAATTCATATTATACAAGTGGATATCATCTTGATAAAGGTATCGAAATTGATAATAAAATCTTAAATTATATATGGTAATCATAAGTGTGAGCTAATCATTTTAAACAGTATACTTATCAGAATAAGAATAAAAGTATACAGGAATTGATGATGGAGGGTGAGGGAAAGACCTCTTGGTCAGCAAGTGAAAGAAGACACAAGCCATGCTGGAAACTCTTTCACATATGTCATGGTGTTATATGCACTAAAATACACAACAGCAAAAGCTTGCATATTTCAAAAAGAGTTCCTACAAGGTCATTCAGTGATACTCATGGTTATTGCATGTAATCATTCCCTTCTAGAAAGGCATGGAAGTTCCTATACTCAGTCTAGGGGGATCGACGATTGTTGATTTTTAGTGTACCATGGATAAATGGATAAGATTAGTAATGTATTGGTGGAATCTTTATCTATACTGTTCATCTAAAAAATGTTATACTCATTTCTACTTCATTAAGGTAAAAAGGTATGCAGTGTAATTATGAAGCTGTTTATTTATATGTTGTTTAACTAACCGACAGCCACACCCACCATACTTGCAATACCAGCTCCCTATAGTGGGGTCTACTTCTAAGCAGACTGCTAATCCTGGAGCATCAACCTACCAGATTTATCTAACTTAATATAATTTAGATAAGATTTATTTGACTTTTAATAAACATTTGTAACACACTGCCCACCTTTTTTCTTTATTTATGTGAAAACAGTGAAATCAAGAAATCTGGATGGGATGCAACAAAGTTAAAAATCATTTTTTTGGTTTTCCTAAATAAATAAAAAAATAATAATTGGACTCCCTATAGAAAATATAGTATGCTTCAGCTGTCCTAAACCATAGTAAACTCTATATTTCAGTTACTGGGTTAAAAGTTTACATAAATCCTCTATTCTCAGACTGAACTTTTGTAATATATCAAGGCTTGTTTTTGATGTACTGTAAAAACAAGTCAGCACCCACCTCTAAATTCAATGATTGACCCCTGATTCAACACTCATTGTACTCAATTTGTAGGTATATTAGTGATAGTATTAGATATAAGTATAAGAAATATAATACTAACCAGTGTTAAACTTGCTGAAGTCATGACTTGGATCAGCTGTTGCCTTTTCAAGCTGTGTTAACCTCCAATAATCATTTTGTAAATTTTTTTCATGTTCCGAATTAACTGCATTCACCTCACGATCCACCGCACTTTCCGTAAACAGTGGTGTCAGAAAGAACTGCGCAAATCTAATAAGAAACACAAAAGAGAGATAGTGTAAAACAGAATAAATGTATATAAACAGTCATTTCTTTTTACACATTTTCCATTTTTCATGCAACAAATATATTATGGCAGAAAATCAAGAAGAATTGTAAAAAATTTATGCTTTCAATGAGCATGCTCTCTGAAAATTCTGATTTTGAAATTTGCAGTTATTTGAAATGTAATACAAGTAACTATCACTCAAAATCTTAGAGGTACAAGTTTCAAGAACACACTTAGTAGATGTCAAAACAGACTTTTTCCTTGTGAATTTATCACCTATGATCTGTCCAAATCCACTTGGAGCTTACTTTGATCTATGATGGAAGGACTACAATCTTAAAACTTGAGATAATGGTCAAGTGGCTGCTATGGGTTCTGTGCAGTCAACAAAAGACCAACATATTCTGACTAGACAGTGCCTGGTTGCGTTCCTTATTTGATCTTAGGGTCTCAAGGATGGCTAGATGTTCTACCTTGCCAACAAGTACTTGAATATTTGTATGTCTTTGACTAAAGTAAGATGGTCACTGGTCTTACTAACATTACCTCTTATAGAAATAACTTTTAAAAAATGTAAAATAAAAGTATAATCTCTAGCCATTACCTTCAACTAAAGTCAAGTACTCGCTTACCTGTCTAAGGCTCCAGAGAATGCTTCTGGCGCTACATCAAAATAATAGTTGGTATGGTCAGCAGCTGTGTAAGCATTACTGGATCCCCCATGCTCTGCTAGGTATTTGTTGTACTCATTTTCACAGGGATATTTTTCTGTACCCATGAAAAGCATGTGTTCACAAAAATGGGCCAACCCAGGGAGTTCTCTGGGATCTGACATACTTCCTGAAATTTTGAGACAGGTCTATGGTATTATTTACACAATTACACGGAAAATCTTTACAGTATGGACGCACTAAGTTAGGGCAAATTGAAGATAATATTCTTGTAGAGGTCAAAAAGTAATAGTGGTTGGTACAAGAAGTAATTTGCTGACATGAATGGTAACTCTAAAATAAAGGAAAAGGGTTGCGGAAAACTTTGCTCAGAGCCTAAGTCCACTCAGTGTTCCAACGGCCAAGTCCACTCGCTTGGCGCGAAAGATTAAGTTGCCACGCAGCTCGCACACCGTCTTCTATTCTACTATGCACCTACGTCACCACTACCTCACGACCAATCAGGAGGCAGCAGTTTAATTTTTAATTACTCATTAAAGTCTAAGTATAATATTCCATATATCATACCATAAAAATGCACAAAATTATCGACTAACTTTTCATATATATTCACGTCTCAGCAGTTTTTACGTTAAAATTTGTATTTTGATCTTCAATTTTGGCTTACTCATTAATATTTTTAATTGCCAAACTACTCACACAATACAGTCGATACTTGACACATTTAGAGTATGTAAATAACACACATTTCTGGACTACAGCGGTGACCTACCTTATTCTTCTCAGTGACAATGACCGATGTGTGTCATTGTGTTATGGTGGTGTGCTTGACTTTTTTTTCGAAATTTAATAAAAAACTGGAGATCATGAGTTTTTACAGATTTGCGGAATCATCCTAAATGAAAGAAATTGTGAGAAGTGCAGTATAATTTTCTGAACTGTTTCAGCTCTATCTTGCTGTACATACCGAGGTGTAAAGAATGTTTCCCAGGGGCTGTTGGGGGGCGGAGCCCTCCATCAACCCTCCCCTCAGGCAGTGCCAGAAGGGCATGCCCAGTCACAGCAACTTAGACCGTTGAGTAAATTTTGTGTTGGTTTACTTCGTTTTAGAAATTAAATATGGCATAAAAAAGTCGCATTTCTTTGACCTTCATATATAGGAAGTTTGGCTCGCATTTCCAAAAAGTCACATTTCTTTGACGTATGTATATAGGAATTTGCTCACATTTCCGAACCTTTGACCTTCGTAAATAGGAAGTCTGGCTCGCATTTCCGAAAAGTCGCATTTCATTGCATTCATAATTAACTTTGGTCATTTACTGACACTGAAATCAAGTTGAGCCCACTCTTTATCATCCCTGCCAAAACACCCAGTTCCCCACGTGTCCCCCAAGCTTGCTGGGTGGAGTTAGGGACTTAGTCTCTGGCGAGTGCATCTGTACCATAAAGAATTACTAATTACACTAGTTCTGTTTTACAGTATGACAATATCAATATGAATTACAGTTTTGAAAAATAAAAAAAAATTTACATAAAGTATTTATAACACTGAATTTAAATAAAAGCACTGGTGTAACCAAATGTTAATTGTTACTGAAACAATAGAAGAAAAAGAAAAGAAAAAAAAAAAAAAAAAAAAAAGAAAAAAAGAAAAAAGAAAAGAAAAAAAAAACGTACAATATATATTCTGAACATGGAGATGGAAAAATATTGTCATAATCACAAATATATACATCAAACAGCACTAATGACTATGAATAATTCTGCAAAGTACCAAAGCCATACTTGGGTTATCGAACCATGTATATTCTGGAAACACTGAGTTTGTAGATTTTCCTGATATTTTATTATTTAATAAAGAACCAGTAAAACTCAACTTGCCAAACTTTAAAGGTCAGAGGGTATATACATGTCTGATGTGTCCTACTCCGAACAATTGCCAAAATTATAACAATGATAGGATATTGAGTATTCAGTAGAGAATAAATGGTAAATTACATAGAAAGTAAAATGAAAAGAAAAAATACTAAGAAATTAATAACAAAAATGGTAAGACCTGTACATTAATTGGCTGGCAGATTTCATTTTAGCAAGTTAAATATAATGCAATATCTACTTACCAATATGAACATCTAAGGCTGCTGCAGATTTATCCGTATTTGGGTCAGATATCAGCAGAACCTTGAGGTTATTCTCCAGCACAAGAGCTCGATATTTGCGCAAGTCCTCCTCCGACTTGATCACCGAGTCCACTTGCTCCTTTACACCCATGGTGGCAGCACTAAGACTCCTGGACAGAGAGAAGAGCTTTTGTAATACGAGATTTGAGAATAAAAGAACATAAGACATTCTATAACAAATGTTTATTTACTATGCTGCTCTAACTTGGCATGACTGTGGGTACTCTTTTGTCAAAGCAGTTGAGGAAAATAGTTATACAACATCTGCAGAAACTTCAAAATGGAAAAGACCAACGCCCCCCCTTATTTGACAATAAATTTCTAGAATTGTCTACAGACTTTTTCTCATTACAATTTAATTAGTAGAGGTTTGATAGGTTTTTCATCAACAAGCAAGGTGGCCTACAAACAGAGATGTCTTGCAAATAATCAATGCAGTTCATTCTCATATACACCATTCATCAAAATATTTATTGGTCTACCGAACCTCACTTATTTTTTTTTTTTTTTTTTTTTTTTTTTTTTTTAGTTTTCAGTTTTATTTTCCTGACTGTTCTCTCACTAATCACGTTAATAGTACTAATATTTGTACTATTACTTGTAATAATAAGTGAAATAATAAGAGTAAGATGATGATAATCATGATGATGATCATGTGTGGAAATGATAACAATAATATTAATTATAAAAATAATGATAATGATAATGATGATGATAATAATAATGATAATATTATATAAAATAATAATAATGATAATAAAACTAATAATAATAAAAAAACAATAAATAATAATATAATAATAATAATAATAATAATAATAATAATAATAAATAATAACAATTAACAATAATAATAATAAAATAATAATAATAACAATAAAATAATAATATTAATAAAATAACAATAATAATAATAATAACAATAAACAATAATAATAATAACAATAACAATATAAAAATAAAATAAAGCAATTTATAACAATAACAATGAGAATAAGCAACAACAATATTTTTAATAACAATAATAGTAGTAATAAAATAAAAATTTCTTTCACAAAAAGTCATGCAATGGGGTAAATAGGTAAAGTCAAGTAGGAATAAAAACATTGATAAAACAAAACCATACTGGTCAATGCATGTTTCCAGCATCAACTGATTGATTCTGAGCGCTCTTTATCTTTTTCTAATGAATTTGAAGCAGTTAATATGATGCGGAATAATGCAAGTTGAAAGGGTGTGTCCTCTTTTCTTCTCTCTCATCTTTTTTGGGGGTTCTTTTTACAATTAATCCCATAGATTAACCTCCAACAGAATGAAACCAGTAAATTACACCAAATCAAGGTCTACTGTCAATGAAAAAAGGAAGATTTTAACATTGAATAAAAAATACATAAACTCAATAACTTTTAGGCAAACTTGAAGATACTTATCATAAGCTATACCCCATTCTAATTAAAATCTATCTATTGTAATGAGGAATAACACTTTATATGTTATTCATTTTCTTCTTGTTTACACATAGTAATTTTAGTACAAATGCTAATAATTGTCAAGAATAGGCCTATGTTTGCATAAAGTGCCATTGGAGCCTTTCTACTCTGTTAGAGGTCAATAAACCTCCATCATATAGCTTGGATATATTCTTTGTATCATTAAGGAAGTCCAAAGCCTTTATTTACTCTAAATAAGCATGATGGAGGTTTGCTGACCTGTGCTGGACAATTCTAGTCAACTACCAAAATACTCTGTACTAAACCATGCAACACTGATTATCAGTGGGATGTCATACAAATAGCTGGTGAGCAAAATTCCAATTAAAGCCTATTTCTCTGTATACAATACATCTTTTTTTGGTTCATACTTTTCGGTCTCAAATTTTGTCCGCAGTTGTTTATTCAGATTTTCTCCATTTCAAATCCGCTCACCAGCTCACTGTCCACGTACTAGATTGTTTAAAAGTAGTTAACGTCACTTTAATATCACTGATGTGGTTTAAATGTTTCAGTGAATTATTATTTTCTATTATTACATATTAATATTGAACATCCAAGTATGTTGCAATTTTACTATTTCAACGACATCGGACGAGCCTTAAAGTAAACCCTGTCATCAGATTTCTTGCACGTGAATTCACACACTTGGATGTTCCAATGAATAAAAGCAT